GCTACGTTCCAATGGTTGCTGACGTCCGAAACGCGTTCGTTCACCTGCTATTCGATCCATCAGGATTCTCGAGCTCATGTACATCATAGATTTGGATTCAGGGTTTGTCAGCTCTTCTGTTGGGTAGACCAGTATGTCCACTAGTCCATTTGTAAGCGCCACACTTTCGCATTCGCTCCCTACCTATTACGAGCAACACCCCCGCCGCGTGGTGGCACTAAAGAGAACTTACTTTTGGAAAAACTCAAAAGTATACCTTGAATTAAACAAATAGATTATCCTTTAATCAACAATCGGTTACTCAAATAACTTGTGACTTGTTAAAGTGTATAATCAAAATGAATATAATTTATAGAAGAATATACGGTTATGCGAATTGATGTAAAAGTGTAAACGTCAAATTCGCAAATAATATAATATATGTTGCAGGTTAAGAAAAAACAAGAAGGCAAAAAAAACTAGAGACAGACATACCACCCACATGACACTCATGCACAAAATGCAAAATAACTGTGAGTAGGGAAACAAACTAAACTAAACTGCAAACACCAGGGAAGAAGAGTAGGATATTCACGTTTATTTTAAAACTTCTAAATCGGTTGACGACTTGTAAGAATGTTAAAGTCAAGCTTTCTATGAGGCAACAGGATTGCATAACACAATTAAAAAAAACACTTACCCACCCACTCAATTGCCATATTATTCACAATCTAGGTAGAGACTGATAATAATAATAAAGGATGAATAGGAAAGATAATATAACTTAGTTATTTAAAATCACACAGAAATGTAGAATATATCATCACTATTCTTGTAGAGATTTGTAACAGACATAGGACATTGAGAAATATATGGAAATAAACCTCAGATGAAGAAGGGAATGTAAGGTAAACGGATCAACGAGAGCAGTAGTCTGTCTCATTTACCAAAAAGAGTAGCATAAATTGTTATAGAGACACGAAAGTTAATCTAAATAAAAAGGAGACGCCCTCAATACTGCCAGGTAGAACTATTGATGATTACGTTATAACTAATCAACTACTTCCAGTTAAGTCCAGATTGAGTGACTGTGAGAAATGGTCATTGAATATGGAAGACACAAAAAAGGCCAGTTGTTTTTGACTACAAATGTTTACTTTCTATGTCATATATTAAGTAATATGTATAGTGAATATTGAAGAGTGTTAGGTGAGGAAGCGAAGTCAATCATTGTGGTTGTGAAACCACATTAACTGGTATGGTTAGGAGACGTGTTGCGCATGCCAAGCCACCAATTTTCCTGTCGAGTAATGTAAGCTGACATAGGAATAGATTGGTTAGGAGTTAGGAGTGGACTAATCAAAATCAAGCATCGATCCGTGAAGTCTTAGACAGTTGGTTTGAGCCAGCTACATAGGTAAGGGGAAAACTGCTTGGTTGAGGTCATCGGGATGCTAAGATACAATAGCTGGAGATAATTAGTCCTAAATGTTGCCGATGCATTCACTCTTCGCGATCTACCATATCCACTAAACCTTGTTTTTTTTTAATTTTACTATACTTTCTCTCTCACATTTCTGCCTATTATAGTTGCTTAGATCTCTTTTTTCCTCTCTTTTGCGTACCTTCTTGTGGTGTATGGAGTGTGGTAGCTTAAAATGCTGCAATACTTCTGTGCCAAGTCGTGTTGAAACTGATAGACACAAATGAAGGTGCTCATTTTGAATCCAATAATTTAATGGGTAATTCTTCAATTTTAGTCACCATCGCCTTTCATTAAACCCAGAATTGTACACAAAAGCTATAACAGTAGAGCACACTGCTACTTGGTAGCCATATCGCCATAATAAACAATGATGGCTATATACTGTCTCTATTTTGCATTTCTTCTACTTTCTTCTATTGCTTTGTGCTCTACACAGTAGTGTGGCGACTTGAACTGCTGCACATCGATGCGAAGTTCTATGTTGAAAACAGACTGATAGCGAGACAGACAGATCGTCTCTATCTAACAAATGATATACACAATGATGGCATTATATACAAACATGACAGTGAAATAGGCATTTGCACAAGTTATTCATATCTTGCTTCTTTTGTCTTTCATTCATGCTTCCCATATTGTTTCATAGGGATAATTCTTTTCTTCACAACTTGCTAGGGCCTTTGCATACTACCCATAAATCCCTGTCAGTAGCACACATCGCACAGCTACCTACGTCCATTCAAAATGTAGTTGAAGCGAGTCAGGTGAGGCGCCCAGTTCTAGGTAAACAGGGGAAATCAATCGACGAAGTTGTGAAGTTACAAAGGCTGAGATGGTTGGGATATGTGTTACGTATGCCAAGTCATCGCCACCCTCGACGAGCAATGTTAGCGGATATAGGGTCAGGCTGGAAAAAAGCTAGCGGCGGTCAAACAAAAACTTGGCACCAGTCAATGAAATCCACAAAAGTTAGTCTAAGCCACGTAGGAAGGTGTAGACTTGCTTCCTGGTTGGGGTCCTCGGGACGGTAAAAATCAATGGTTGGAAACAATTGGTGACATGGCTCAAAATCGTTCTCAATGGCTGGCTGGTGCAGATGTATCCACTCCTTGTGACTTATGATTTCCAATGAAACTGTTTTGTTCTTCGTTATTACTCCTCCTTCGTCTCACACCTCTGCTTACTGTCTCTACTATGCTTTTCGTGTCTATCTGTCTGTCTGTTTTCGACATAGAACTTTGCACAAATGTGCGGAAGTTCAAGTCGCCACATTCCGTGTAGCACGCGAAGCAAATGAAGAAAGTACAAGAAAAGCATAATAGAAACAGTGAGCAGAGGTGTGAGACAAAAGAGTAATAAAGAAATACAAAACAGTTTCATTGGAAATCATAAGTCACAAGGAGTGGATGCATTTGCGCCACTGAGAACGATTTTGAGCCATGTCACCAATTGTTTCCAACCATTGATTTTTACCGTCCCGAGGACCCCAACCAGGAAGCCAGTCTACACCTTCCTACGTGGCTTAGACTAACTTTTGTGGATTTCATTGACTGGTGCCAAGTTTTTGTTTGACCGCCGCTAGCTTTTTTCCAGCCTGACCCTATATCCGCTAACATTGCTCGTCGAGGGTGGCGATGACTTGTCATACGTAACACATATCCCAACCATCTCAGCCTTTGTAACTTCACAACTTCGTCGATTGATTTCCCCTGTTTACATAGAACTCGACGCCTAACTTCAATGTTGCTCGCCTTATTATGCCACTTTACACGGGAAATAGAGCGCAGGCACCTATGATCAAACACAGCTAATCTTTTCATGTCTTCCACTCTCAGTGGCCACGTCTCACAACCATAAAGGAGGACGGAGAGGACTGATGAGCAGTACACCCGCCCTTTGGTCGATAGCCACCTGGATATCACGTCTACGCCAGAGACGGCGTAGACTGGTGTGTGCAAAACTAGCCCTCTGTATCCCTATTGAGATTTCGTCAGAGATCAACCCGTTGGGGCTGATGGTACTTCCCAAGTAAGTGAAGCGGCCAACGTGCTCTACCACTTCACTTCCTATTTCTAATCTAGGAGTCGGTGTAGTCCAGTCCTGTAACATCATCTTACATTTGGTGGCAGCGAATCGCATGCCAAACATTCGTAGATTGCGGCTCAAGGTGTTTAGAAGACTCTGCTTCATTTTGTCAGCGTCTTCGCCTAGAAGGACTATATCGTCCGCATATTCTAAGTCAACGAGATTATACCCTGGTATCAAGTCAATCCCTGAGTCGCTGAAGTCACTTAGGGTTAAGTCCACTAACACATCTATGATGAAGTTGAATAGAAAAGGGGATAATGGGCATCCTTGACGAACACCACTAGTCGTCACCAGTTCAGATGACAGCTCGCCGTAAGCCCTCACCTGGCTGCATGAGTACGAGTAGAGTGCCTTAATCAGTGCAATATATTTTCTCGGGATTCCCTTTACAGCTTTTCGTGTACTTTCTTCTCTTGCTTTGTGTGCTACACAGAGTGTGGCGACTTGAACTTCCGCACATTTGTGCAAAGTTCTATGTCGGAAACAGACAGACAGACAGTTGAAGCGAGTCACAGATTAACAGGTTGCAACCTAATGCCAATTCCTGAGGTGTGTGTTATCAGGTTTCGGTTGTCTGACTAAAGTTTTCAGAATTCCACGAATCAATGGCTGAAGGCTATTCGTGAGACTGATGAAAATAATTCGCAAAATTGCGAACCTGTTCATTCTATATTATTTAGAGATTTGGAAAATTTCGAACAGTTCCTACGTCAGTAACGATCTTTCATGAGTGCTGTTTCGAATGAAGTTTAATAATTTGAGGCTTTTGTGTAAAGCCCTGCACTGACTTGTCAGTTTTAGTATATGCTATATGCTGTGCGTCGGTGGCACAGTGGTTAGGACTCTGCCGACCATGCACATGTCCGGGGTTCGAGCACACACCGACACACAACTGATATCTATGGTCGGCCTGTGAAATTCGGGCTACCGATATCCATGCTGGAAATTCCATACTTGTACCAAAAATACGGTGTGAAATCAAGCTGTAATCAAAAATAAAAAAATAAAATAGATATCAGAAGATAGGAGTGTTGCAAAACCACAAAACCACTAGTTACATGTTTTTAGTCACAGTTCCTTTTCTCATTCAGGCACATTTGAATTGATATGACAAATTCAAGTCTTGCAAGTAGGTGTAACACTGAAGAATAGACAATAAAGTTATATTGAACCGTACAGCTAAAGTGAAAGTTGTACTTGATTCGAGGGGGCGGAGGAGGAGGGGATTGTAGGTAGATTCAATGCATCAAACCTATTAGTATATCCTTCGAAATCTGTTGCAACGAAGAATAGCTTTCAATTTCAGTGTTTCTATCTCCTATCACTCAAGATAATCATCCAATGAAATCAAGCTGATTTCCGAAAAAAGGGCAGTAAAGTGAAGCATAGACAACACATTATAGCTTTTGCAACACTACTTCACAAACCAAAAAAACAAATAACTTACCAAACAATGGGTATACTTGAGATCCAGTAGGCTGACCACTGGATTGAATATTGTTCGACGATGAATCAATAACAGGATTATATGGTTTAACAAAACCAGTAACATGAACAACAGCATAAGAACACTGACTATTTGATGATGAAAGGGCTCCAAAGGTATGACGATATCGTAAACGTGCACGAGCAGTTAAGCCTAGTGAATTGGTAACTCCAACATCTGACTGCATACCACCAAACGGGACAGCTGTGCCTATTCGCATTCGACATATGAAACCACGGCGGGAACCCATTGTACCTCTTAATTGAGCTGAAAGTAACAATAAAAATACCTTTTTCATTGATCGTGTAGTGTATGTCATAACAGAAAATGAAACTCTCAATTCGACTGTTAACTACTAATAAGTGATTTCTTAAATTATCGAGAGAATATAACTCTAATTAAAGGTAATTACAAATCAATAAATATATATGATGCGAGGCATACAAATAAAGCATAATAATCCTAGGTGATCGTGCCAATGATGTCAGGTTAGCATCTGACAAGTCAGCGATTTAACTATGTGATCTAGTACAATTTTTATGCAGCGGGTTGAATACAATGCTGTTTTCTGTGCAGAAATAGCTTAGGTGCAATTTTAACCCTCGAAGCGGTTGACCGACACTCAACCAGTGCAAATCAGTTAAGAGTGAAAATGAACACGAAATGATAAAGAATTGCTATAAAACATTCCCAAATATTAGCCCAATGAGTTATGTAAAGTGATTACAGTCTTTCTATATTAACATGCAGTGAAAATTCCTTAACTTACAAGTTTGACGACGAGCTGACATCATTTGGAGAACCGTTGGAAAACCAGGAAGTACTGAACAGCGGTTGCGCTGTTTATTGCGAATCAACAGAAGTTGGAATTCATGGGACACTGGATCGCGTCGCAGTGGCTGAATAGACTCCCTTGTAACCTTAAGGTCCCGGGTTCGAACCTCCGTGTGTTTATCCTGAAAGTGTTTCGCAATAGGACATATCGATCGTCCAACATTCTCTGGTATTCCAATGGGTTTTTTTTGACTAATACCAGCTCATGATCAAGCGAAGTGACCAGTCAGATCGATGTAAACCGATACTTGAGAATTTTAGAAATTTCAATTTAACTGAATCGGATTGGTAAACAAGCTTTTATCATTCATACACCATGACTGTGGTATATCTGGTTAACTTTGCTCTTTATTCATTAAAGAACTGAGAATGAGGTGGAAATATTCGAAACGTGACAGAGGTGTAGTAATACATCGGTAGATCGTTATAAATGAGTATTAATGTAAGTACTGATATTCCTGACTAAGTAGAGTCTATCCAGTTAAAGAGTATTATTGTTATTACAGCAGATTAGTTGAATCACTTATCATTTCTTTAAAAAACTTTAATCTCATATTAAAGTCCAATAAATGAGTCAACGGATTAAAACACAAGGATTCATTGCGTGGTAAATTTTTGTATAAATTATCATGCACAATAGGTGATCAGGTGAGATATCATCACTACTAGCAAAGATAACACACGTTTAGTGTGAACGTAATTCATGTGACAATCATAGGGGTATCAGTCTGCTACCAGTTGCGTCTAAAATACTGGTTGCTGTCTTGCTTCGCAGGCTGTGCAAAATACGTGAGGGCTGATTTGCGAAGAGCAGGCTGAGTTTCGTTCAGGTCGTGGATGCATTGATCATGCGTTCACCCTTCGTCAGTTGTTGGAACACCGCCACACGTATTGCAGGCCAACGATCGTTATGTTTCTTGATATTAGGGCTGCCTTTGATTCGTTGGACAGAACTGTGTTCTGGAACTGTCTGTTAGAGAGAGGTGTACCTGAGAAATTTGTTAACATCTTGAAAGCCCTATACAGAAACACCTCAGGTAAAGTGAGGGAATACAACCAACTATCATCACTGTTCCCAACCAACAGTGGGGTTAGACAGGGTCGCCCAATCTCTCCATTTCTCTTTAAGTTTGCCATCGATGGCATTCTGGAGTCAGCTCAGAAGGATGTGAGTGAAGGTGGTGTAGATCTGCTACCCGGAGATAGACTTTTCGACCTGGAGTATGCAGACGATATCGTCTTACTGTGCGATAGCATGCATGCTGCCCAAATCGCACTTAATCAGTTACACCATCAGTGTCTGTAAGTATGGTATGTACTTTGTGCCGTCTAAGTGCAAAGTACTGTTACAAGATTGGCAGGAGCCTGTACCTGCACTCACTCTTGCAAGTGAACCGCTTGAAGTTGTTGATAAGTTTGTGTATTTGGGTAGTTGTGCGAGTGCTGGTGGAGGTCTGACGGATAAGATTTCCAACCGTATAATGAAGGCTAGGGTGGCATACATCAACTTGAGCCACCTCTGGCGCCGTCGCGACGTTAGCCTGGCTGTCAAAAGTCGGGTATACAATGCTTAGGTGAGGGCTGTCTTGCTCAACGCCTGTGAGACCTGGCCTCCCCGAGCTGAGGATGTGCGGCTACTCTGCGTGTTCGATCATTGCTGTCTCCGCAGGATTGCTTGCGTTCGATGGCATCATCGCGTAAGTAATTCTGAGGTTCGTCGGCGTATGTTTGAACACCGTGGAGATCACCATTCACTGAGTGTTGTCATCTGGAAGCACCGGCTCCGGTGGCTTGGACATGTGCTGCGAATGTAATCCCAGAGGCTTCCGTACAGGTCTCTGTTCGCTAGCCAGCGCCTGGGACGGGATGGAAAAGGTGGAGGGGTGGTCAGTCCATGACGTGGCGTCGTGGGATGAAGGAAGTATGTGCTAGATTAGCATCTGTTGGTGTGTCAGGACTCCCTAGTTGGGGTCCGCGAGATAGCTCGAATCGATCGCTCGAAACATTATCGGATATGGTCAAGAATCGTGATCAATGGCGAACGTGCTGCAATTTCCTTCTTTTTTCCCTTTCTGATGATAGTTGACGAATGCTATTTGAACTTGTTGAGTATGACTGTTTTCCTTCCAGATGGAGTTCTTTATCCATTCTCTACTTATAATTTTTTACTTTTGATCTATGTTGTTTTATTATTATTGTGTGGCGCATCTTTCTTGGTGCCATATTGTACCAAGTTTTTTATGCGTTTAAATAAATAAATAAGGAACATTTCAACAGTGTTGAAATTTTAACAGAATAAGAGTTTTTAAAGCTATACTTCTAGAACTGAAAGAACCATGGAAACAAACAAGTTGTACCTATCTGATTCACACGTATCATGCCATATATGTGTATGGCACTCAGAATCAATAAGGTAGTTGGAATGCTGTTGATGAGCACATTGTGTGAAACCTTACGTCCTAGACACGACTAACAGGCTATGAGCAGAACAGACCCCACAACTGTCTAAGTTCAGATATGAAAGTCTAAACTGATAATAAGTAGTTAGTTTCGAAAAAAGTAATGAGAGTCTTATGTGACATCCATCCATAGAGCCTCTAAGTGGTATTTCGTGTCTGATCTAACAACTATTTTCACAGAACCGATAAATCATGCTTTCATACAAGAAATAAATTAAAAAGCAATTTTTTAAAATAACAAAACATGAGAAATAAGCATACATTGATGACCTTCTTTTTTCACTGTGCCAGTTTTCAAATCCAATATACGTCCTGGAGCTGGTGATGAACAAATAGTATTCGTTAAGTGTGTTGGAGAATTACGACGTTGTGAAGAACATAAATGACTTGATACTAGATCAGATACTGATGCAGGCGAGGAATCAGAAGTGTTAGAGCATAATTTGGAGTCTGATGATGAAGTGGGCGGTTTGTTAAGGTTGATGGAATTACTATTATTAGTAGTAGTATTTGATAAAGCTGTGGGAGTTTGACCAGTGAGACCTAAAACACTAGCACCCTGGGAGGGTAAGGGGGATCCTGTTAGTTGTTCACATATTTTCTCTACGTCGTCTGGATGACATAACTCATAAAGAGTATGCTGGTACCATTCGGACTAAAAATAACAAAAATACAAAAAATTCATGCACTGTTGATTTGAAGACTTTTATATAAAGCACTTAGTTTCTCTAACTGACATTTTAAAGACGCTTCTAGAATAACGCTGTTATATTCTGCATTTCAGTCAAGTATGGCATATCAACGATTAGTGGATATATATATATATATATATTATGACAAAATAGGACGAAAATAGAGTCAATCAACACCGTATCATATACACAGAGAAGCCTTGTTTTTATTATAACAGACTAAAATGACCGAAGGACAGGACGAATTTACCCATTTTAAGCCGACATGTATTTAACAGTGTGATGAACAGTTTATCCATTTTCTAACAGATAGACAGGTGAGCATATAATAGTGTAGGTCGAAAAATATCTAAAAAGAAACGCCAGTTAAAAAGCTGGTGAAAACCAGGAAGGTCTGGACAGTTATTTGGTCGTAGTTCGGGTTTCTTTTTCAATAAGCACCTAATGACTCTACCAAAGATTAAAGTAGGGACATACTGGTTAGAAAAAACTAGCGCATTAGTGACTGACTACGAGATGAACTTGCTGATGTTCCGGTAAGAAGTCGTGACCGTCAGGATACACCAAGGATAGACTCGCCAGTGACAGTGGATGGTGGTGGAGCTATATCGGAGATTGCCAAGGGTGAAAATATCATTGACCATTGCATTCTGATCCAGTGGCTAAATGGTTAACATGCTCGTCTCGTAACCTGAAGGTCCATTGATTCAATCTATGTTGAAGTTATAGGTTCATGCTGATGAGGAGTCCCTAACTAAGACGAAGCAAATGTCCTGTACTCTGTGATTTCCAGTGTTCCTATACGTGGTGTAGACTGACGACGAAACCTACTTTGAGATAATCAATCAAGTCTCCACAAAACACAATAGTTGGGAAACGCTTCTATTAGTGAAGAATGTATATCTGCCCGTTGTGCAATCATTTTTAACATACTATTATATCCACTTTCCAATAGAAATCAAGTAGTGTGACGGGATCCAAGAAACGTGCTCAAAGTAAGGAAATTATTGACAACAGGCATCAAGATCAATGCATAGCTGCTTAAAGGAATTGTACTACTAAGTATTAAGATTATTTAGAGTAGTGGTTGACCGTATATGAAAGCGCAACTATGGCTATTAGATTAAGGCACTCTAGTTTTAACGATTGGGTCAAGCGTCACTGGGTCACTGAGATTTGAGCAGTTAGGTAGTATTAGCGGTCCTCAACCAAAGGTTAGTGGCCCATTCCTAATTCAATTTACGCGTAAGTGCTTATTGGGTAACCCCTTCAATACGTAGAAGTCATGTCGCATTCAACATGTGACTGATGATGGACAACTTTGACGAGGGGATTGCATCAGTTAAAATTGCCATACTTTGAAAAAGTACACAAAATAATAAGACGGAAAGGTAACGATGAAGACAGAGTAATTAGTGGAGCTTTCCAGAACATGACAAATGATAAGAAGCAAAAGCATCCGCGCTATGACGAACGGTTTTGGCCCACAACCGAAGAGTATCGAACTATCCATTCTTAGCATCATGATGAACCTAGCCAAATAACTTGTGGTTTAAGCCAACTTTATGGTTGAATGTCACAATTTGATTTTAATCCCCTTAACCACTTTCTTTCTTATGATGCCCCACTTAATCTAACAATCGGGTCATCAAGGCAGTGACTTTTCACGTAGGCGCAACGCATTCTGGAAACTTCATTATCTTTGGTAAAAGATAACTTTCCCAACATGCTTTATGCGCATGAACTAGTTAACTTTATTCTGTTATTTGGTTTCTTTCTTGGAATTAAGCCCTATAATTACTGTTAAGACAAAGATTTATGTACTTCTGACTGGGATGCTACGTTTTACATTGAATGCACATATAGGCGAACAAATGCAGTCAGTTTAAAATTCCACATTGCTACCCTACTTTAGGTTGAACGTATCAAAATAAGTGATTTGACCGAGAAAAATTATATATATATATAAGAAATTGATTTGGCCTGAATCATTGTAATTACCTTACTTGACGAAAAAGATTGTGTCCAGGGTCGCTTGAAATAAGAAAAACTTAACTACTTAGAGTAAATAGTCTCTGTACCACTATTTCGTTAAATACCTAGTTATAATGTGGCGTGTGCTACGGATAAGATTTACCAGTAATACGTTTATCGGCATAAAAACGTCAAATAGCAGGGAAATAGATTCAATGTCAGAGAAAGCAAATGACAGACAGTTGCGAAGATACATGGGAGACGTGAAAATGAAGACGACGAAACACACAATATGAAGGAAGGCCAGATCTGTGCAAATGTTGCAAATAAGCATTCCTTTACCAAGTCTTTCGTCTCCTACCGTTACGATACTACTGCCTAGTCTATCTTTGAGTACTATTTCAATCTTCACATAATCTTACGTCAGTGTGTTGTTTGAACAGTCGGCTTGGTTTGTCAGTCACAACTAACCATAGCAAAATTGATGACTAAGCTAAAAAAGACATTAGGTTGTACGCCTTAATACGCAAAAAGAAATGAGTTACTAATTACAATCTATGGTATATCACATCTAGTAGAAAGATTATGAAAAAGGAGGCATGTATGAAGTTTGATAAAGTTTGAATATATAAGCTATCTACAAAATGTCAAGACAAGAACTTACCTGAGTCTGGTTGAGTACAGCTGTGACACTATCAGATACATAAATAATACGTCCCGTATCACATTGACATACGAAAAGGAATCCATCAGCAGCCTTTGACGAAAATAATTGAAATAAAGTAGATGATAGAGACAAATCTGAGTAATATGGCTATAAAACGTATTTATGGGTATAACATTAAGGGATTTTATTTTTCTAAAAGGCACAATAAACACTACGTATGCAAGGATCGTTGAAAGGAAGGAGCAGTCAAAACATATCGTCTGAGGACAGCTCTGAGAAAAAACAACACTGAGTCTTTCATTGTTTGAGAATGAATAACAATGTTGAAGTAATCGATAATTAACACGTGTGTGAAAATTGAAAGCGGCAGTTGAACAACTATAGATACAAGATGACAGAATGATACTCTACTACAATTAATTCGGTGCGGTCACAATGGATTCTGGAACGGAAATGTGACAAATTAGAAACTAGAAAGGCATCAATGATAAGGATATTAGAAGTTGGAAACCAGTTACCCGAAGCGGATTTCTCTTATCAGCCACACCTATCGTAAGAGGGTTGATGTAAGTGGAACAAAGTTTGAAACCAACACCTATTGAAAGAAAATTGATTAAGTTAGTGAGTCACATCTCTAGGCTGTAGATACTTGAAACTTTGATTGTGGATACTGAGAAAGTTCTGTCGACAACCCCCCCCCCACACACACACAAACTTTCACTTTTGTTGGTATAGCCCTCGATATCGGCCTGAAATCCATTCTAAGTACCACATCACTTGCTGCTCATAGTATAGCACTAAGCATGACTTCCCAACTTATATCGAAAACTTTCCAACAGCATTCGAAGCACGGACAGCAACAAAAGCTAACAAACAAAAGTTGATCAACGCCTGCAAGAAATATTGCTAAACAGTCATTCTTTAAAATAATCGAGTTAGCCTATGAGATTCTTTCTAACCGTGTTTCAATTAATTTTCTTTTTAACCTGTCATTTTTCTCAGTAGTCAGATGTTTAACAGACAACCGGCTAACAGATTGATGTTGCCACATCAGTTTTAATACCGGATGAATTTTATCATGATGTTGGAATGTGACAGAAAATCATAGTAAGTTTAATTCAATAGATTTCAGATATGATCAGTGTGCTCTAACCTTTTACTTGATTGGGCTTCCTTAGCCAGTAGTTAAGAGTCAAACGTTTTTCTGTTTGAGCATTTTTATAATATTAACAACCCCCTAGTATGGAATTACATATTTGAACTTTAACAGATTAGCGAGAACAAAGCAGATCCTAGAAGCACAGATTTGATGACCAACCGGAGCTCACGTTTTACGAATCAACAAGTTATCGGAGGAGGTAATGAGGTGAGCTTCACAACAAGTCTTACCGCATTTACGCTGAAATATATTTATACGACTAAACTTACTTCCAAAACTAAATGCTTCAACTCTTGGTCTGAGAGAAACGAAGGTTTGTATGATCCATCAGAAGCAGTATTCCCAGTACCTGAAGTAATTTTAAATTAAAAAGTTGTCATTAGCAACCTCAAGAATAAAACAATGTCTCGAAAACATACAGAAATCTCATGCAATACACTGCCATACATAGATAATCTTTCAATTATTGGGTCAAATTTGTCTTTTCACCAAATTCACGTGTCCATGCATTCACCAATGAGCCATATATGTTGTATGGGGATTACTGGAACTATATGGCTGGTACCTATTTAAGGAAGAAATAGCGAAACTAGTGCCTGAGGTCGAAAGCAGGACTTCCCCTGAGGTAACCTGGCACAACATACAGTTAGCTGTAGACACAGCTATAAAAGGTGTTAACAAGCTAAAACCTAAAGTTAGTAAGAGCCATTGGATCTCTACCTCCTCATCCGAACTGATTGACGCAAGAAGACTGGTCCCGGCGAGCTCCGAATTCAATGAGGAGCGAAAGCTACTCAAACGAAAACTAACAAGAAGTCTCCTCAACGACCGTGAACAGTGGTGGGCGACAAGAGCGAAAGAAATGGAAAAGGCATCGGGGATTGGTAACACCACACAACTATTTAGGCTTATCAAGGAAACAGGTGGGTAAAAGGCAAACGATAAGTGAAACAATCTCTGAGAAAAATGGCACCATAATTAGCTCCCAGGACAGACGACTGGAACGCTGGAAAGAACACTATGAGGAGCAGTTTAATTGGCCCACAGCCACGCTTAACCTGCTGAACATCCAACACCTCCCTGAATGGGATATAGACACAGGTCCTCTGTCCTTAACTGAGGTTACTAAAGCTGTCACCAATCTGAAACTAGGCAAAGCAGCGGGACCTGATGGAATGACTCCAGAGGTATTTAAGTACGGTGGAGACAGCTTACTGTCCGGATTAACTGAGGTACTAGGCAGCGTCTGGGAATCAGAAGAAGTCCCATCGGGTTGGTGTAAGTCACTGATTATCCCCATATACAAGAAGGGAGACAAGTCTTCCTGTGATAATCACAGAGGGATTAGCTTGACTAATATAGTATCTAAAGTCTTAGGCCCAATAATCATGCGTAGACTGAGTGGTGCTCGGGAAGCACAAACACGAGAGAGCCAGGCAGGCTTTAGACCAGGAAGAGGGTGTATTGATCATATATTCACCCTCCGACAGATTCTAGAACATAGGCATTCCTACCGGCGTCAAACAATCATTATATTTCCTGACCTAAAGGCGGAATTCGACTCTGTCGACCGAGAGGTACTCTGGAGATGCTTGGCTGTAAAGGGAATCCCGAGAAAATATATTGCACTGATTAAGGCACTCTACTCGTACTCATGCAGCCAGGTGAGGGCTTACGGCGAGCTGTCATCTGAACTGGTGACGACTAGTGGTGTCCGTCAAGGATGCCCATTATCCTCATTTCTATTTAATTTCATCATAGATGTACTGATGGGTTTAACCCTAACTCACTTCAGAGGCTCAGGGATTGACTTGATACCAGGGAATAATCTCGCTGACTTAGAATATGCGGACGATATAGTCCTTCTGGGCGAGGACGCTGACAAAATGAAGCAGTCTTCTGAACACCTTGAACAGCAATCTACGAATGTTTGGCATGCGATTCGCTGCCACCAAATGTAAGATGATGTTACAGGACTGGACTACACTGGCTCCTAGTTTGGAAATAGGCAGTGAAGTGGTAGAGAACGTTGACCGCTTCACTTATTCGGGAAGTTATATCAGTCAAGCTCTACGGTTTGATCTCTGACGAAATCTCAATAGGGATAAAGAGGGCTAGTTTCGCATATGCCAGTTTACGCCGTCTCTGGCGTAGACGTGATATCCGGCTGGCTATCGACCAAAGGGCGTATGTACTGCTCGGCAGTTCGCTCCGTCCTTCTTTGCGAATGCGAGACCTCGCCATTGAGAATGGAAGACATGAAAAGATCAGCTGTCTTCGATCATAGGTGCCTGCACTCTATATCCCATGTGAATTGGTATAATAAGGTGAGCAACATTGAAGTTAGGCGTCGAGTTCTAGGTAAACAGGGGAAATCAATCGACGAAGTCGTGAAGTTACAAAGGCTGAGATGGTTAGGACATGTGTTACGTATGCCAAGTCATCGCCACCCTCGGCGGTCAATGTTAGCTGACATAGTATGGGTCAGGTTGGAAAAGAGCTAGCGTCGGTCAAACAAAAACTTGGCACCAGTCAATGAAATCCACAAAAGTTAGTCTAAGCCACGTAGGAAGGTGTACACTTCCTGGCTGGGGTCCTTGGGACGGTAAAAACCAATGAAGGCTGGAGACAATTGGTGATATGGCTCAAAATCGTTCTCAATGGCTGGCTGGTGCAGATGTATCCACTCCTTGTGACTTATAATTTCCAATGAAACTCTATTGTTCTTCGTTATTACTATTCCTTTGTCTCACACCTCTGTTTACTGTCTCTCCCTCTCTATTATGCATTTCTCTTTACTTTCTACTCTTGCTTTGTGTGCTACAAGGAGTGAGTGTGGCGACTTGAACTTCCGCACATAAGTGCAAAGTTTCATGTCGAAAGCAGACAGGCATGGCTGGTACAAACTAAATAGATCTTCAAAGTCATAGCTTATGGGTCAAAAGTCTAATGCCTCCGTCAGTTCATTACACCTACAGACTATACTACAGGTCACCCAAATTTGTAGACACTAACGGAATATTCTGCGTTCAAGACGATAATGTTAGTGACTGAGCTATCAGTGGTCTGTTACACACCCAATTTTCTCAAACATTTAATTCTTTCTAGTAATAGCGGCTACGAATGGCTATCGTAAGAGCATTCAGCACGTGCAGAATAAAACACAACACGATATTTCTTAAGGATGATATCAAGAAAATAAATGGGAAGTTCAACGCGAGACAAAGGGATATTTCTTTCAACCGTAATATAAAAGCCTTTTTCCATAGAAATAATTCCAAGCTGTTAATAACAAATAAGCTTTTATACGACGCAAGACACCTAGACTATCGCTGATGATATAGTATAGTTATAGAATATTTTCACTTCACAGATAAACACTGATCGGATACCCTGATTAATGATATCACTAAGTGAAATCTATCAATCTACCCATAAGTTTTAAAACCAATTGCAAATAACAACAGAAACGAGTTCTGCTCGTTCCCTATAATTTTTCTAGTCAACTTATATGCATACAGACATGGAGTACCACTGAAGAACAAAGAAATTACCTAGTCAGATTGTAGTTAAAATATGACATCTTGATAAATCTAAGGGGTGAATAATACAGGATACCGAATCGACATACAAAACACCCTTATAACAAACGATAAAATACTTAATTGAATTTTAGATTTTCCCGTCGATTGAGTGGACCGAAGTGCTCGGTCTCAGGTTGACATGTCGGCTTCTTACGCAGATGCTTCGACGATGTCTGGGCATGTAATTATCATTTAATTGGTGGATGGTGACTAGCAGTGGAACCCACCAAGATGTGCATTTCGTCCTATTTGAGACTCGTCGGCTGGATGTCAATCTGAGACCGAGCATTTCGGTCCAATCAATCGACGGGAAAATCTAAAAATTCAGTTAAATAATTAACATGACCCGTTGCACAAGAGGCAGTGGCTCTCGTCGCCCAAGTGCTCTAGTGGATAACGCTTTGGTTGATGTTTGAAACTATGGACACTGGGTTCGAGTCCCGGTGGGAACATCACTCACTGGGAATGAAGGTACATTCAGATGACGAGTCCCAAATAGGACGGAATGCGCATCCTGGGTTCCACTGCTAGTCACCATCCACCAATTAAATGGCGAAAAAATTCATTTTGTGTAACGGTCTATTAATGGCATAGGCTCAAATAGGTAGATGAGGACCACGATCCACAATCTGGAAGTAAATTTCAATGAATCATATCGTAAATTAAAACTACAGAGCTATAAATTTCCAGATGATTCATTACACCAACTAGTTGTTCATAAAGATTATAATCCTTTACTTTGACCAAGAACTATCAGGATACCTGACAAGTTTGGCTGATTTCGGTGACTCATAGACACTTTTCATAAAGCTGATCATAAACAGAAATACAAAAAACTTTAATTTAATACTTGAGCAAAAAAGTAGATAGATGCCTGGAAAAGTGTTTCATCCATATCATACAGCATGTAATTTAATTATGATTTACACATGTATTAGCTGCTATATTGTATTTTACATTACTGACTGAAGTTTATCAAAGAAATCTGATGAATGTTTCACTGACACTGATTTTGAGCTTTTCTGATATCAATTTTTTCACTATATATCTCATCTATCCCATGAATACCATCCAGAAACATTAACACTTTGAAACAGTTTACATTCACTTTTCGAGAATTAACAGAATAATGCTAGTTTACATTTTCACTTATATCTATATTTTTCTCTTCATTTTACTCTTATCCATTTCGTTACTGTAAAATGAAGAAAATAGTGACAAAACAAGTGGAACAAATAACAGAACCACCTGAGTGTATGTACATCCACCAAGTAAATTACACTTAGTCTACATAGAGTGTATCCCATGCCAACCTAGTGAACAAGTTCAACGGAACTATATATATATATGCAGAAATGAATTCTAACATTTGCTGTACGCTAACCTGTGGAAATCCTGTGGTGATCAAGAAGGTGTGCTAGTGACCACATAGTTTGACTTGAAGCATATAAATCTGTGATATTAATGAAGTCAACAACTTCAGCCATTTTTGGCTTGTGAGACCTGTTGATTTATGCAACTCCGCGTGTTTATTCATCAACATATGTAAGAGTGGACACATCATACTAGGAGTAGGATGGTTCATTAACCCAAGGACTTGGATTTTAAGTAATCAGCCTTCAGATTAAGTCCTAATTCATCCACGTCAAAATGGTCAACTGTATACTGTTTCAAAACCTTTCCTGAATTATTACTATTACTTTGAATCTGAATTAGTTATCTAATTTAAAAACCAAGATTTATTTTACTTAATGATGTTTTCGTCCCTTTTAACTTACTTCATTTTCCTACCTCTTATCTGTGATCCTAACCCGCAAACATTTTAAGCTATATTGAGCGAGTTTTGACCTCTTATAATCCGTGTTACTTTTTATACATAAACATGTGACAAGTACGTGCGTGATCAAAATATTCGAAATTTGTTGCGCAAATACATTACACGTTTCACATATATTATGTTTTCCTATAGTTTTGGTGAAATTAATGAATAGAACTTAGCGCTCTGAATCATATAACAGTTGTAGTCATAAGCTGTCTTAAAGTACCTGGAAAAAAGTGGATTATTTTCAAGCAACAACTGTGTCCAAGGCAGAATGTCCCGAATTAGGTCACGCACGGTTCCCTTCAGAATATTAACGAACAGAAAAACCCACTTTCATTTACTTACATAGGATTACTGCCAGTGACGGAAAAACGAATGACATTGCAAGTTACACGGTTTATACGGTCAACTTAGTTCCCCACCCTTTCTAGTGATAGTGGCAATAAAGTACAGATAAAGTGTCTGCCGTTCGAAGAAAAGATAGTGTTGTTAAAACCTTGTTCAACCAAAATCCCAATATTTCTTATGTATCCCCAATCACAGAATAAACTACTTACACTATGACAGTGATTGCATTTATTTCTCACTACCAACTGCGTTTATAACATTCCTAGGTCTTACGAAACAATCCATTCGACATAAAATCGTTACATATATGAGTGCAAACTTTAGTACCACGAAAACATGGCAGTTGCAGGTCAGGAAAAAGTGAAATGGGATTCAAAAACATGAATATGCTGTCTTGTAATCCGTCTTACAAACTGTCAAGAAGTTATATGAACAAGAAAAACAAGTTTTTTTCGGAAAAGCGGCAACTTTAGGGTTGACTTAGATCCTTTCATCATTGATCCTCTAGTGCTTTTCACCAGGAATAATGTGGCAGATTTGAGTGGATTTTCCTAAGAAAGTAGAAAGTTTACAATAGTGTCAATCAGCCTAGAGAATCAACCACACAGTTGCACGAAAGACAGTGGGAAATTGAAACTAAAATATTAATCTATTAGGTTTAACATAGTCTCGTGGACGACTAACAGTCATTTCGTTTGAACGGAGATAAATCAGACTTCTGAAAATACGTATCTGTAGCCAATTCACCCTTCCTCGTGAGGCAAAGGTACACTGATGATAATATCTAACGTAGCTGTAGTTCATACAGATTATTGTGAATCTTTGACGTATCCTCAATTAAAATGTTATCAAAGCCCTATCCATTAAATGATGTGAGAAAATATCCTTACACCTAATACTTACGACAAAAGAAAACAAGATAGACACAGACAGTTTATTGACTTTCTGAGAATGAATGTTTGTAAACTAAATCGGTAGTCGTTTACGTAATTCACCGGCATGTCTGCTACAACCAAAACTCACGTCTGGTTGTCAGGTGATTGGTGAATCATCGGATATTTGAGGCTCGCATGCTTCTCCAATCTCAGTTAAACTACTCTGAGTATTAACCCAATGGCATTTAAGTACTTAAAAAAAATAATAATAATTAGGCAAAAACGAATCTGTTTTGACATATCCCGCACAGCTTTTCAGACCCACAAGCTTTTACTGCCTCTTAGTGATAGTGAGTCAATACTGTCCTTAACTTTCGCACATGCTCTTGATATGCAGACTTAGGTGACTCGCTTGATTGCATATTTTTTTCGGTAGTACGCAAAGTATAGATCCAATAGAAAAGAAAGTTTACTCATAAGGAACTTAATGTCCAAGAATATAAATGAACGTTACTTCTGAGGCACAAAACAAATCTAAGTGTGGTCCTTCATATAGTTTCAAACAGTAAGCATAGTGATATTTTAAGACTTATTCACTGAATATGTGGGATTTTGACAATGAATTCTCACGATCTTAAATGTAGAAGGAAAATGCTTAATGTTTGGAAAGTAGTTGTACTAGTCAGACAAATTCTATTTGACTGTCAGTCGTACAATAATGATTTTTCCATGTCATGTACAAACACCAGGACATCGTTGTTTCAAACAAGTGACGAATGACTGCTACTGAAGATGCAAACATTTAGACATACTAATATGTAGTGACAAACAGACAGGATAAAATGACAGGGATTTCAGTAGCACTTGTAAAGGCACTTCAGGGTGTCGATAGTAAGTTCAATGAATACAAGCTTTATACATAAAAAAGAAGCTATTGAATTCCCATGTGCCAGAGGACTGTTTTATTCATTAACTATACTGTGTCAGTGACAAGTGAAATAACTGAAAGTCTTACCTAGTGACAATGCTTTTCAATTTTGATTGTTCCTGCCACCTATTATTGCTTGTGATCGTTCAGGAAGTTTCAATCACTATGAGATCGTATTCTTATACATCAGTCAGAAAGTACAGTCTCTGGGTTATGTAACCATAGATCATAATGATAACATAACAAATTAGAAAAATCTGCATACACAGGTCAAAAGCTTTAGTCGATAGGTTGAAAGACATGCTAAACAGTACACATAATATAAAATGAAACTGAAACCCTTTACTTAGCTTTTTAAGGAATCTTTCCAGTTTAAGTGACTAACTGAATAAACCAAGTGTGGCACAAATACATCAAACAATTTCTCATACTAAGCAAAAATCTCGTGGTACATAAAATGACGGAAAAATTGTAGTGTTTAAGGGAAAGATGTCCTACAGATTTTATGCATGAGGGTAAGTACCTTAAGTTCCGATGGGTTCTCAAGAAAAACTAAAGAAATACTCTGCAAAAAATGATCAACGGTACCTCGAATGGACTTCATATGGCTGACAGCCATTCTTAAGATCGTCAGTTTATCAGGTTTTCTTGCAAGTGAGCTGCACGTTGGCACCATTTCACACAGTTCATTTATATAGGCAGTCATTTTGTTCCTCCTCCGCCTTTCTATTTCACAGTGACTTTCCCTAGGAGAACCATAGCAGCAATGGAGGTAACTTACCTAGCATATCTCTCCTTATCTTGTTGGTCGCCACTACTTTCATGTTTGCACGCAGACAGCCTGGAGCTTGTCACCTCAAACAAGCTGAACAAAAAAGTAGTCAAAAAATATCAAACGTACTCTCTGTCGCTGCCTCCGTCACTGTCCCTGGAGAAATCTGACGGCAAATTTTCAACCCTACACCGAAAAAAATTATTATTACCGTACAGCATAAAATGAGAGAACACGTTATACCAATTTCGGCAAACTTACATATCCATTACTTCAAATGAAAAGGCACAAGAGCATCATACTCCTCATAAAGTAACACAAAACGTAGCGCAACCCTGTCTTCACAACGCGCGCCTAATATGTACACACTTTTTTAAACCAAAGTCACAACAGTCTTTTCAAAATCGCTTGTAAAGCATGGAAACGTCACGTTCGTTCTACCTTCGTCATCAGATACATCCGTCACTTGGTTTAGTCTACCCTGTGATCAAAAGGTAGGCACTAGGATGAAAGGTGAAAATCAGTATATGAAAGTGCGTATACTCTACACTACAAACTTCTCTCCACATGAATGGATCAGTGGATGGTGCTTGTGTCTAGCTTATTAAAATGTAGAACAAATGGAAAATGGGAATTCTGAAGTTGTTTTCACTTCCATGACAGTGATGGGAGAGACAAACCAGTGGTTATTCTAAAGAACACTGACTCCCACTAACAGCCATAGCCTCCAATTGAAAATAACACCACATTTTATCCAGCACATGCGTTCAGTAGATCTACCAGGTGCAATGGGTCGCATGGATTCTCAAAATGTGTGGCGATACGAAAGCACTCACTAAACCGTTGTATATCATCGAGTCCTGAAATTTCGTATTTGGAAAATCAGTCAACACAGGGGTATGGGAGTGGTTTACAGAGTTGTATGATTCTTGCTTTAGATAGGTGTAATTTTGCATGAAATGAACTTGGTCATTGTGGCAGCCACAAAAATTTGTCCTGTTTAATGTCTAGATATAAAATCTGAACGCTCTTGAATACAGCTGCATAGGCGAAAGGGAGTGAATATTAGCCGCGGTTATCCTTTCGCATCACCTGTGGAAATCAGAGTCTCGTGATGTTAGTGTAGTATAAAATTTAACTCAAGTAACGAGTTATCATAGCATTAAACGATTTCAAATCCTGGGATCCTACACATTCAGATGTGGGACATGTGAAACTTATAACGAACCCTTGGGAAATATTTTGAGGTCTGAATTGTTCGAATCGGCCCATTCTCCATATCGTTTCACAAAAATATCTTAAATATTTCACTGCCAGATGCAATAACGTGTAGTATCCACGTTCAATAATAACACTTGTCATCTCACCTGAAACGCCCTGTTGTAGACTTTGATTAATCTCACACAACTATCAGTTATGGTAACACAAAATATTCAGTGGAAGGATAATTTTCAAATCGGATTTGATTCTGTGCTACTATGCTCGGTATTTTCATCCATTCAAAAGTCGTTAGTAATGGCATTATACTGATCTCATTCCAACACCCCAAAAGTGGGTCACGTGGATGAAAAGTTGAATATACCCAGAGTCTCATAACGCCACTTATAATAAAACTTGATCGTTTAATTTTAGTTGCGCAAGTTAAATTAACAGGTTCTCAGGCAGAAACAAAACGAGGTGCTACTTATTATTCCGAAGCTGACAGACGATAGGGCGATCTGGTCTCAGACCACCAGCGAAAAGCCTACATCATTCATCAGTGAGCACCGTCCTTCAAGGTTTGAGTCGACTAGCTAGGTTAAAAAGTGAGTTGTACCATCCACGCTGTCACGTTACATTTGTGTACACACTGCTACTAACTAAGCAGGCACAAAAGCTCCATATTTCACATGTTGTAGGACAAATTTTCTCTTTATTTGTCTTCTCAACAGCTGTTTGATCTTAGTACGTTGGGAGTTGAATAATACATGTTTGCGTTTGCATAATGTTGAATCTGTCGTACCCGTTATCATCCTTCATTTATAGGCACTGAGATTACCATGTCGAACATTGGTCACTAATCAACGTGGTTTCACTAGCGGTTCGGAACGCCAAATCGCAGCTATTATTTCTCAACCGCCTTCGTACTAGAGATCTTGTCAGCCACGTCTCGTAAACCGTTAATGCCTAGCTCTTGCTACGCTCGGGCTCACGCTGTTCCTTGAAGTTTCTCAGAAACGCTTAGTAATAACGGACGCAAACACCAAAACACCAATTGGCGACTCGAGGATTCCTTATTGTTACACCAACATATAAACACTGTTACAACTAAGGTCTGTGAACAAATATTACAATAATAAATCACAATATTACTTCTGACGGTTTGCTCCTGACTTCTTTCTGAACAGCGACCGATGAGACGATGACTGTCGTATTGATGCCTCCGCGAAAATTGGGGAAGTTGGTTTTGAGCAAACAACCATGAATTGATCGTTCAATCTTCAACTACATTGACACTCCCCGGCAAAAAAGGGATCCAACCCCTGTTTTCCATCACAACCAATACACGTTGACTTGGTTGCCATTGCGAGAACCTGGGTCACACGGACAGAGCTGAAATGGAAAACAAACAGAAAAGCCAACACACCACAAGCATACCCACAGCACAATCTCACACATCAATGACGACCTGCGCCTCCAGACAGAGACCTCATCTTGACATCTCTCAACACAATCGCCACTTGCTAGAATGACTCTTGCAGAATGCAACGTGACCATAGCACCACCTCACGATACTCTACGCACATCCTCTTATCTACTCACTACCAATTACCACTGAAATCGCTTGTCACTCATTCTGCCTCAGTTCTAGTAGCGGTGACGCATGCGAGCCTCAGTCGTTTACACTCTTTCTCCCCGGCGTGTGGGACCGCAGCTAACAATTATCTCCGTGTGCATTTCATTCTCAGCAATAGCCTAGCCTCCCCGGCGTATACGACCCATCTGCTGTCCTTAACATCAGTCAATTCATTCACGGATGAAGAAGAGTGGACACAACTTCAGAAGTAATCACGACGAACAATTTAACAAAATTATGCAATAAAAACAAGATACGAAAACAACAGGTAAACACAATGAATCCAAAATCACAAATTGATATGACACACCACACGTACATACAAACAGTACAAACAACTTCACCGATCATGTCTCGATGTAATTCCTTTGAAGAATTGCAGGACTTACACCAGTACGCCTACAACCCTTCACAGTTTGACGATTGTAATTTGTGGAATATCCGGACACAAACAAGATTAACCAACAATTACAATAATTGGAACTCACACAATTATCTAACACAAACATATGTACAATCAGCACATCAAAGTGGTGGATTCTGGCACGACAAACTACCCTTGAAGAACTGTAGGACTTACAGCAGTACGCCTACAACCCTTCTCAGGTTGATGATCCAAGTGGAAGTCGTCCGGACACAAACAGAATTACTAACAGCTAGATGACAGATGATATCAATTCAGCATATACAATATGAACATATATACAAAATCACACACCAAGCACATTGGACTGCTCACTGATGCGCTACCCTTTGAAGAATTGTAGGACTTACAGCAGTACGCCTACAACCCTTCTCAGGTTGACGCCCTAGGTTGGAAAATCGTTGCAGAGTTCACTTGCTGACTTCCTTCTATCAGCTATATCCTCAAATCTGAACGGTAACACGCCCATGTCATTGTATCGTAGAATATAGATGACGAACAAACACACGACGTATCTGGTCAACCAAGCGTAGAAACAGAGTAATTTACACCAAAGATAATAGCATTCAAATAGTAACTTGAAACTAGAAATGCCTTTATTCATGCAAGTCAATTTAACAATTACTCTCTCGTTTACACTTGGCTTATCCTCACTAAACTGACCATTGATATTCGTCCTTTCAAACGAACTGATACTAGCATAGTCATTGCACAAGATACTTGAGTTGATGGGCGTCTGTTTCGTTGTGGATGACAACACCAACGACGACTGATTGATACCAGTTGATGAAGTTAGCGGTGGATCAGAAGCTGTCGTTGCTCGGCTTTCAGATAGTTGTCTACCTGCAAGACCACCACCACTGCTGTCTTTTACTATCAGCTCAGGTTTAGCACTATCATCTGATGATAGTTGGGGTACACGCTGATCAATTACACTGACGGTCTCACAAGTATGCACACCTTCTGGAACTGCATCTGCGTTCAATTCTACTTCACGTTGTAGTTGTACAGAACCTTTATTTAACTTAGCAGTAGTAGGCATTCCCCTCATCTCATCATGAACAACCAAAGACAACTGTTAAGTATCATGATCATTATCACAAATATTCAATTTACCATCTTCTATCTGGTCGACTTCATCAATTTCAAACTCTTTATTAGCAGAAGTAGACAATTTTGGTTCCTCCTCACAAATCATTAAACGTTTTATAACATCACTCTGACTAGTAATAGCTTGTAAACTTGTAGGGTCAGAACTGCACTCTGAAGCAGCAACTCTATTCTGTGACACTCTATTCAACAATGGCTTACCAGTTGCAACTACAGACTTCTTCACCGCACCGTTATCGTCACACAATTCGGAGTCAGGCCTGGAGTTTACATTCAGCTTATCACTGAACTTGCTCACTGGTTCACAGTTCACCTTTGTATGCACCTCTTGCAAACGTGTAAAACACAACCGTGTTTGTCTTGCATCTTGTAACTTATCTGTTGAGGATGTACTACGAAACCTGTTACACTCACTAGGTCTATATGCATTACTAGACATCATGGAGTCTTCTCGATATCCACCTCTCTGAGGCCCTTTCGTCATCAATGATTGCGTTTTACCCTCAGACTGCTCTATTCTAGGGGTGAGATTCCATATACTGGCGAACTTGCTCATAGATTGATTGACACTATCTTTTACTAGTTTCAGGATATCATCAAATTTTGGCTCGACACCCTCATCCTCCACACGGGAGCTTATCTTCACCCACTTCCTTTGCAGTCGAGTAGGTAGGCGTCTTGTAATTACATCTAGGACTGAGCTCGAGTTGTGGTCACTAATGCAATTCATCGAAATCAAGGTATTCTTATAAGTCATAAGATTATCTGGAAACTCAGTAAGTGCCGTGGAGTCATCTTGAAGTTGACTGCCGTTACCTTTGACAGTTTCGTATACGTTCCTTACAATCATTGAAGGTGTCATCAAAGTCTCATAAACCGTTAATGCCCAGCTCTCGCTA